TCAGGGAGGGGTGGGTGCAGTCTACAAATACTGAGGGAGGGGTGGGGGAAGAGTGTTATCACTCAGGCATGGGTGGTAGGTGTTTGTGATTGTAATCACTGCTGGTTAAAGGCGCTTTTACTCGATCGTACAAATTATGTTAATCCGTTTTTCGACTGACTTCTCCTTCATCAACGTTTTTGCGCATTTTAGTCATGCGAAAGCGAAACTGCCACGTAAATACTGGACTTATAATTCTTATTAAAAATATCGTGTTTACGATCCTCCACTGTCGAGTTACCAGTCTGGCAGAGGTTTTGTATGTGCCGTTTGAGTCGACTTGTGCACAATCAGTTTTCCTTTGTGTATACAGTGTGTAATTACAAGATTTATCTGTCTTTCTTTTGTCATTGATGTTATCAGACGAGATCTCGGAATTTCTGTTCCTTGGCCCTTGACTTTAGCCGCAAATATAGAATTCACGAGCGCAATCGCAATTTTAACGTCATAGTACTTCCACTACATGAAATCATGTTTGGTACAATCGTATAAAGCAATAATCTCTCAGGTATCTCGTTAACACAGACCTCGAAAACGCAGACCGCAGACCGCAGACCGCACACCTCGAAAAACGTGTACACAGTGTGCAATTACAAGATTTATCTCTCTTCCCTTTGTTATCAAACGAGATCTCGGAATGCGAAAGCGAAACCGCCACGTAAACACTGGACTTTTATTTAAATTTAAAATACTGCGATTTTGAGTCGACTTATGTGTGCACGATCAGTTTCTTCGCGTTTTCCTTTGTGCATACAGTATGTTATTACTAATTTATCTATGTTCCTTTTCTCAGAGATCTTATCAGACGAGATAACGGAATTTCGCACTACACCGAAAAATGGTCCAGTCCATATTTTACCCTATGCAAAACCACTATTGTATTTGTACTATGGAAAAGCGGAAACAAAGATTGTACCTGTTACGCAAACAAAAGAGTTTCTTCGCTTTTTTGGTGCATATAGAAAGTGGTTTTTAAATAGCCGTATGATATAATAGCGGAAATATGTAAAACTAATTTCATTGACAGTGAGATAGCAGATAAAAATAGACGTAAAGTGGGGTAAATTGAATAAACAAAATAAAATAACTAGAAGTAAGAACAGTTAAATTAATGAATGACGGGGTTGTATAAAATTTATGTATTATTATAATTAATATTTGAAATGATTATTTTTATTATTAAGTATTAACCACACCCACGACTTTYACCCACACCCACACCCACACCCACGCCCACACCCACGACCCACGACCCACGACTTGTACCCACGACCCACGACCCACGACTATTAGTCAAACTCGTATGAAGAAGCCGCTAAAAGTAATTACGCCGGTCTGGTCACCAAATGCAAATTACCCGAAATATGGACCTCCCGTGAGCGAACAAACATCTACACTTCGCATTTCGGGTGGTCGCTTACGGATGGTTCAACCACAGGGGGCTCAAGCTCTCTGAGAAAGGATAATATTATAAAGCTTTGTATGGGAGTTTAGGCTCCGCTCTGTAGCTCCGTAAATAATACAACAAATGAGCTTTAACCTTCAGATAGCATTGCTTGTGTTATTTTTATTCTCTGGTAGTGATTTCAGACCAATCCGTCAAGACTCAGCTGAGCTCTCATCCCCCTACCGCTCGTACTGAGAAAAAGTACGAAGTAAACACAATATTAAACTTCCATGCAAAGATTCATATAAATTATCCTCTCATAGAGAGCTTGGCCTCTTGTGATTCAATATTTCCCCCTTTGTAAGCCCTTTTTTATTTGTCACATTAGGCAAAACACATCGGGGCCGGGTCGTTATGACAATCCTGTGAGTACCCTCTGTTTGACACAGTGTGACCCCCCACCCCCTCCTATTAAAAATCCCAGCTACGCCCCTGACTTTTGTCTTGATAGTGTAACTGTCAAGATGGTGGCCGAGTTGGCGCTTTTTAGTTTGAATTCATTTCCAGTGATGGTAAAATTATCCTTAAGAAAGATGTGCGCAAAATTTCAAGTCTCGAGAGTGACGCGATTTTGAAAAGAGGAGACCTCAGATAAGGCCTAGTTTTGTACTTACTATTTCCGCTGAAATGAAGACCACATAGGGTGTTGGTTGCGATTTGATTATCGAAGAATTGTAAATTGCTGAAAGATCTGTAAATGATAAGTTTGTAAACTGTAACTTGATATATATTTAAATTGGTGACAAATCAGAGGTATGGAAAAGATGTTTTGGAACACTGTTCTGAAGGTAAGTTAAGAGTTATACCGTAGTCTTCTTTTTTAAGAGTGCTCTATGTCGTTCTTTTTCAAACCTGGACGTGTCAGCAGAATAACGGCAATGAAACCTTGCTGCGATCCTCGGTGCCTTTTCATTGAGCGATAGCATGATAACTAAAGAAAGTTTAACTCCGTCGAAATCGAGAAATCTGCTCCAAAGTATTCTGGCCGTAAACAAAAGCTCTTGTTTTCTGTCTCCTTTATTTTTGTTCTGTCTTGAAGGTTTCTGATTTAAAAGTCTTCATAAGTCTGATAAAATTCTGAGAAGCCCCTTGATTGTTTTGTGTCTCTTGATATCACGCTTTACCGGTCAATTAAAAAATAGGCAGTCGGTGACTGCACGTAGCTTATGCGCCTGTCATTACTTACAATACCGTATTTAACCGCGCCCTGAAACAACTACACCAGAAGTTACTCACAACTAAAGATATAATGCAAGCAAGCTCTGTGATGAACGAAACAATTATATCGATCTTAATACATTTAAAATACGGCAAGAGAACAGAACAAGCTGCACGTCTTATAGTTGTGCTATTAAAGTAGACAAATCAATATAATCGTCATATTTTTCAAGTCTGCAAATCAAGAACTGTTCGAATAAAACTGTCGTCCCGAAATATCTCTTGGTCATTTTCGTCTTGCTTCCTATTAACAGAAACCATGAAACATGCGATCTCCACCCACCTGGACGAATTTGCACTTTGAAGTTTGATCCGCATGCCTATTTGCACACTTGCGAAAATATTTACCGATTTTTATCTTTCATCTCGATTTTTGTGTGAAAAAATCAATCGCAGGACAAAAATCGCTGCAATGCAACAGAAAAACTCCTTTGGGAAGCAAATATTTCACTTGCGGAGCAAATAATCGCAGCAATGCGACCTGAAACCGGCAAGAGACAAAAAAACTGCGATCACGATCGCCGACGGGAAGTACAGAAATCAGACGATGTAGGAGAAGACCGAACTGAATTCCAAGCATTAACGGGCTTACACTCTGGATAGCGTAGTATCTATGAATTCACAGAAGTCCGTAGATAAAAAAAGGAGATAATATCGGGGAATACCGGATCAAAATCGGCAGAGTTCGTTGTGGGCTCGGATTCTATCGTTACCCTCACTCACTCACTCGCTCTCCGATTCTATTGTTACAGAGACTAAACAGGACAGCATAGTGGCTTACGCTTCTTCAAAGCTACTATTCTTAATGAGGTCTTTTAGCTACAAAATACACTACACTACTGTTTAGTACTTGGTTTTTCCTTAAGCGGATCATCGGGGCAGTGGTGGGCAAATTTTAAGCTTCCTCGGTGCTGTCACCCTGGTGTTATTAAAAGAGTGCGATCGAAAAATCACAAATTAATCTTCGTACATAAAATCCTCACTCGTCTATTTTATCTGTGTTCTGAAGCAAGTACATGGGAATGGTTTCCTTTCCTCATTACCTAACCCCTCCCCCCTTCGCCACAAGGGAAGCACTTCGATCGCGAGAGTGAATATTGTTGAAGTGGTTTCAAGTTGCTACAAGTTGAAAATATCTCATGATCAAAATGGTAAGGTTTGTATAGCATCAGTTAACTTTGCGATACTTCTTTTTAACCGGTCGTCCACCGCAGGCGAACTCTTAAACCGTATTAGATCACGGTTGTGAAACTTAACTGTATCCGGTATTGTTGTACCCTCTATGAATAATACCTTTGAATCCGCTCTCTTCGCAATAGAATCAAGAGCTTTACAAATCTTACCTTTTAAATGCTGCTTGTCTAGTTCTATGTTATCAAACGTTGTAAACAACTTGGTTCAATTAAATGTCTTTCTTCGCTGTTTTACTTCAAACACAGGCATATGTTTCGTCAGAAGTGGGCACAATGAATCAGTTGCGAGCAGGCGATGACGGGACAATAAAAATCCCTTATCGCATCTTTGTTGGCGGTATAGCTTTCAATGTGAGTAGAGCGCCTTTATTAATAATACAGTAGTCGGCAAAAGTTTCTTCAACGCGCACATGAGAAAATGAAAATGTATGGAAACAATTACGCACGCCCAAACTTTTTGTTTTGTTTTGATTTGTTCTTAAGACCACTAAAGAAGAACTGAAAGACTTTTTCAGCAATTATGGAGCAGTGAGGGACACGAAAATCATAAAAGACTGCGACGGATTGAGTAAAGGGTAAGCTTTATAACAGAGGTCAAGTTAAATGCAATAATGTTTCTGGGTGTTTTTACTGAATCTTCGAGAAAAACCTTCGAGTTTGTTGCGTTGCATGCGAATACATATGCCACAAAAAATTCAGGGGAGTGTAAACTGAAGGAACAAGTCTATGATGTATCATTTTCTCATCTTCACGGAGAGAAGCTAAGACAAATTCAAAAGGATTCAACATGTTTGAAGGGCAAAATGATAAGGATGTATTTTACGCTGGAGCTATGGGTCATATCTTTTGTTTTAGTGTTACTGAAGCATTGAGTGGACCGAACCATAGAATGGTCTAAATTTTCCTGATGAAACTCTTAAATCCTTGTTTGGGGGTAATCAAAACAACAAGGATAACAACACATGACAAATAAGAAGCCATTCGATTCTTAACTGATAACATCTTTGCCTAAATGGCATAGTTGAGTTGGGAAATACTTTGGTGCAATACTTGCAGCATGACTGAATGTGTCATAACATATAATCGCAGGTACGGTTTTGTTACTTTTTATCGAGAAGAAGATGCGCAGAAAGTTATGAACATGGTAAGAACACACGCTTTGTCTGTTAAAAAAAGTGGTACGTTGAAAATTGAATTCTTACCATATGGTCCATGATTTTTGGGAAGGGTCGAGAATTTGTGCTGTGATAATTATTATTATACGACTCGGGCAGTCAGAGGGCCTATAACTAAAATCAACCAATCAAAATGCTCTATTGCCGGTCAATATTCTCTCAGTATTGGACCGGGCACTGTCCCGAATGATACCGCACTTGTGTCCCTTTGAACTTCAGTGGTATAATAAATCTCTTATTAACCAAGCTTGCTCGGGGCCGTACTGGAAGAATATCGGCCCTCGGTCTTTTTTAATAAGATATATATATCGACTGCCATCTAATTGGTGTAAAATACAAACCCTTAAACAGCTTTTCTCCTCTCTTTATTTCCACTAGGTAGTCGTTATTTTTAGTTGCTTTTTATTATGTCTTTATCTTTTGTTCGCGAATTAAATCTGAAACCTATAATCATCGTTAAATAACTCTATATCGGAACAGCTTCATATTTTCTTTTTATCCTACCGATGTCCACTTTATATCCTAAAACCTTTTTCGCTGAATCACTTTAGGGAACAATCTTCTTCAAAGAGAAACGTCTTAATATCTCTGAGGCATTCAGGAAACCGCAGCTCGTAAGTACAACGCGTTTATTCTGTGTGCGGACGAAAGCTGCACCTTTGACTGGCAACGTTAATCCGAATAAATTTGAGTGCACTTGTGTTTCTGCCATGTTATATTCGTTGTGGATAGTACCGAAGAAAAGCAATAAATGCTTTTCCGACCGAGTATTGATCATGCTGAAAGGTACGAGAAAATAAGGAAACGTAAAGTAACTCCCTTATAACAACACAGTGTTATGTTAAATGACTAAAAACAACAACAACAAAAGGGAACAGTCAGTCGTAGAAAACTGCTGTCATTACCGTGGTAAACATTTCTGAAAAACGTAAGTGTTCATCTTTCTTCCAAGATAAAAATAGTTTTTTTTTCCATTTTATGTGCAGGTGAATCAACAAGCAGCGATGGATTTGGTAACTGTACCCATGGCTGGTATCAATTATTTTCCTATATTTCAGTTGTAGCAGCGAGGAGCTCGCTACTTTCCAGTTAAGCTCTAAGGACCCTGCAACGTACTGCATGATTGGTACCTTGATAGGTCCCTTTTTCTTTGTTCTCTTGCAGCCCCTACCACTTGGACCTCTCCCTCATCAGCTGCCCCTGTGTATTACACAGCCATGAATCAGCAGGTTGGTTTCGTTCCGAGAGCTAAGTACACTCACACGTATAGAAGCCACGTTACCGAAGTAAAATCCCCAGTTTCCGTCACCTAACCACCTTTCTTTTAAACTCTAAGAACCTCTGCAGACAAAATTTGCCTCCTGGTCTAGTAACTTCTATAACTGATCAGTGTGAATCTCGTTTGCCTTTCCCCCGTTTCCTACTCCCTTTCTGCACAACAACCTTTTTAAGTTCTTGTTCTTTTTATATGAAAAAAGCAACCTTATGTTAACGTATCGAGTGGTTTGTCGTTCGCACCAATCAGATCGCCGCATTAGAGCATGTATCGCACCAATCAGATCGCTGCATTTGGGTATGTATCTCACACCAATCATATAGCCGCAGAAGGGTAGGTATCTCGTTCGTCATACTAAACAAATTTTATTTGGCTATACACAGGTACCGCAGATGCCGCAGTTACAGCTTTCTTCTTCGAGGACTTGGCCTGTGGTCCAGGGAATCACTTTGCCCCAACAGCAAGCTGCTGAAATAGTTTGGATACCACAGTATTATTATTTTTAGCCATCTAGCAAACGAGGTTTTTTCTTAGATTGCACGTCAAACTTCGGCGTTGCTTGTTGAGTGGATGCGTAGAATATTGACACGAAAAGAGCTCGTCTGTTTTAAATTACTTTTCTTACGTCTATCTTTTAAAACTTTCTGTAATTTTATCTTAAATTTTTTTATCCAGTTGTTACTGTCGACCCACAGTTGATGTGACGCGATAATGAAGTGCGGTCATTTGCGAATGCCACGTTATTTCGGATGAAGAGATCATAAACTTAGTTTCTCTTGTTCTGATCGATGTCGAGTAGGAGAGCATCAGATTCAGTGGGGAGTCATACTCGCTTTTTTTCTTTTAGATCACTCGCCAGTTCCGAAAATCAAAGGGGACGTAGAAAAAATTAATCGCAGATTAGGCTCACTTTGACTACCATTAGAGAGCGTGTTCATTCACCACCAAAACGTCCAAGATACACGCGATGTGCATCTCAAGTTCGATTGTATCAAGAAGACCACGGGACGCAGAGAAATTTTAAGTTGATCGTCGAAATTAACCCGGGCCCCCCTCCGCCCCTTTGTATTACTTCACTCTGTGATTGGTCGAGAAATTCGCGCCACGCTCTAGAACAAATCTTATCCATTAATAAACTAAACCCAAATGCCACACGGCCACTCACGTTTTCTCGCGTTGAAGCAGTTTACTTTCTGTACCCTGAGTCCTCATTGGCTTTTTGATATAGTGTATTCGCTCTGATTGGCCGGTTTCGTCAGTTTGACTTCTGTTTCACGATTCTCAGTTGAAAAGTGCTCTAGATGCGAAACTGGATTTTTTTTTTTGGGGGGGGGGGGATCCTCCTAGGATCTCTTTGAATGGGAGGCTCATCCTCGTTCTCAAGAGAAGAGAGCCCCCTGGGAACGAGGTTAGAGGGATCTTAATGAGTAACTTCCAGCGTGCCCTCCTCTTGCATGCGTCTGATATTTGACGCCAAGCTAGGAAAGCTTAGACTGTATAAAACATGTTCATTAAGTCTTAGATTCTTGTACGTGAATAGATATTTTATAAGATTTCCTAATCGATTTTAATCAGTAACTTTTTCAGAACTATTTTAACTAAATTTATAGGTGATTTTTATAAAGTGTATTTCTATAACCCGTTTTAGGACGATATACCTTTGTTTTAATTACAATTCTTAGACAAAGACAAACAATTGATCTGCCATTCGTATGTACGTCGCTTTGACCGATACCTTAGTAATTCATTAAAGTGGGAAAGATATAAATAGTAAATATTTTTGTGACTTTTTACATGCTAACAGTGTATGGTAAGTTAGGTGTAGTTAGGGTTCCGCCTAATAATGTAGACGATCATGTGATTGTATGAACGGCGTTCGCTTCACTCCAGGTAGATAAAATGCTTTGCTCGACTACCTAATGTCGAAAAAACGCAAAACTCGTTTGGTTGGATTTCTCAGTACCATAAAATAGTGATTAAAAGGAGATGAAATTGGAATTTGTTACATGTTCTCTATCTTTGGTCGCTTCAATGCCGCCGCCAGAGCGCCTCTTTTACTCTTTCACCGTGGATGATGTTTGATCCAAGTCAAGCTGCGCGCGCTGGCAGAACGAAACGAAGTTGTACTGAGTATAATTATTTGGAACATGTCCTCTCTGGCTGTAAGAGTTTTTTTTTGTCATTTTGATCAATTTTAATTTCGGTTGACCCGGGACCTCATTAAATATTTGGAGTCGGAGGCCTTCAAAAGGGACGCTCGTTTCGAAGGGGTTGGGGGAGGGGGACATATTTGCTTTGTCAAACTTAGGCCTTAGTATGGAAAGGCACTAACTTTAGTTCAAGGAGTAATTTTAATATCCATCGGTGAAACCTAACAGTTTGTTGAAATGAACACGATCAAAATGTGCGTTTGCAGTCATGATGTATTCTGATACACCTATAATGTCATGCGGCTTAGTTTATGAAACGCTGTTCACGGGGATCCTACTAGAGGAGGAAACCCTAGGTGCTTATCTGGAAATTTTTCCAAGGGAGACGTGATGAGAAAAGAACTTGAACAAATTTTAAAGGTGAGTTACTCGGTTTTTCTTAATCATGATGTTACGTTATCTATTTTCTACATCTAGTATTCCTAGCAAGACGAGGATCTTCATTCCCATTTGAGGGTAGTGACATTTTGACGTTTTTCTCGTTCTTATCAGAGCGTTTTGTTTAAAAGGAAAAGCCGGTAAAAATTGAGCTTATGTATCAGCAATTCCTATTAATGAATTCTATAAGGACATCGTTGGGGAAGGTTATTTTTTAACGAAAATATTTCAGGACTATTATCAGTAATGAGAGCGTTCTTTGATCAACTTCAAAAAGATTCCATTTTAGCGATGGGTTTACACTAGAGGAAATTGTTCCGGATTCGTGAGGAATCCGAAACGTTTTAGTACCGGATTCATTCTGCCGTTTACACAAAAGTGGACTAATCCGAAATAAAAACTCGCCGGTTTGGTCGTGTCTCCGGAGATTTTGAATCCGGAATTTAAAGTGGGAACTTTGAATCCGATAACTTTTGAATCCGGAAAGTTTTGTCGTGTAACCGCTTTTTTTCTCGAATCCGGATATTATTTCCACCTGCAATCTTTTGAGTTTGCGGTGAAACCAAAATGGATCTGGTGCTAACATTGCTGGCGGTCTCCGGTTGCCTAATCTTGTTGCAGGTTCAGGCGATAAATTTTATCATGTGTACCGCAGTATTTCTGAAGAAACGCAAATTATTATTGCAAGGAAGTTTAACGTCAGCCACACTTAATCGCCGACGACGTAGACTGCTTGGCATCTGTCCAACTCAAATTTGCCTCAGTGGCATCTGGATCTACTCTAGCCTTTTTTGGGGGAGGCATTTTCACTTTGTCGATCGAACGACGAAACAACACTGGGCTTGGTAACCATTCCATTTCGAATGTTCCCGGAGTTGTCGTTGTGTGTAAACGGTCAGGAATCCGAATATCCTTTCAGTGTAAACGCCTACGAATCCGAATACTCCAAAATTGATGAATCCGGAAACATTTACGAATCCGGAAAACTCTCCTCTAGTGTAAACCTAGTCTATTACAGGC